AGAATGTTGTAAATTTGCCACTAGAACCCAACTAAAACAATATAGTTTAATTACTTTATCTGTAAAAAGGTAATAAATATAAAAAATATGTTTTTTTTTTCAATTCCCAAAAAATATTGATGCCACATAGATTATTATTATTGTGTAGCCTATATTAAAGTAATTATTATTATTATTGTTCGCCCTTCACATGCGAAAATGACAAAGGTAATATTCTACTTGAGTAGTAGCTTTAATTTGAGCTGTATTTTCTTTAAAGTGAGGGAGAGTTGCACAATTTGTTAGCCTCACTCTCTCATCCTTGCCTGTTTGATCCAATGGCAAGATTTAGTAAAGAGGACTGAATATAGGCTAGGATGCAGTAGGACACCAGTTGGTTTTTGTGTTTCACAGAGCCTTTTATGAATTCCAAGTTGCAGGATTTGTTGAGAAATCTGATATCAAACCCAGAGACAGAAGTGGTATTACATTGACACAATGAAAAAAAAGTATATAAGGCAATAGTAATAACAACTCTCCAATACTGATGTAAAGTGAACTATCCAGATGGATATCAACCTGAACTCATGGGGAAACACTTGCTTTGGATAGCACAAGCTGGCGAGGCAGACTCACTGTTGGAGCACACTCTTCAGAGAATAGATGCACTACTCAAGCCCAAAGAAAGGGCAAAAAGAAAAGCTGAAGTGCCCCCAATGACACAAGGCCCCCAAACTCTTGTTTCACACATGCAGACAAGCTTTCCAGGCATTAATAGAACTGAAAAGCTACCTGGCGTGATAATCGTATTAATAATAGGCAACTATAGCCTTGTTCATATTTAAATATGGAGGAACATTTTTATTACTAGTTCAAGTCTAAGTTTGTCAATTTTAAAAAATACCTAGCCATAAATTGTGAATCCCCTCTAACTTTGTGCTTATGTTGGCATATTAACCTGTAAACTGATGACAAATAACACCACAGGCATCACCACTGAAATTAAGGTCGGGGAGGAAAGACTAGAGACTGTAGGCTGCTTCAAATACCTCGGAGCAATAGTCTCAGAAGAAGGCTCCAAGCCCAAACTGATGTCCAGGATTGCGCAGATTTCAACAGCACTAATGAGGCTCAAGAAAATATGGAGGGACAAAAATATAGCCCCCAGCACCAAAATCAGGCTGATGCGCTCATTAGTCCTCTCCATTTTCCTGTCTGCCTGCGAATCCTGGACATTAACTAACAGCAGATCTTGAAAGGAAAATAAAGGCGATGGAGATGAGATGCTTCAGAAGCATTTTTGGCATCTGCTATAGGGACCATATATATCTCCAATGATACAGTGAAAAACTCCGCCGTAGCCGGTCCCAAGCCCGGGTGAGAAAGGAGGAGGGTTGGGCGAAGGGCTAGCAACCCTTCCCTGTAAAAAAAGCCCTGCTACAAAAACACAAAGAAAGATTTCAAAAGGAAGCTCGGACCTTGGAAAGGATGGGTCTCCTAACAGAGAATTAATGAAGCTGGGTGGCCAAAGCCAACTGGAAACCAACCGGCGGACAACCATCCTCTCCACTAGGACCACCACCAGTCTAGGAACATGGAACGTAAGGACCATGTTCGAAACTGGAAAAACTGTCCAAGTTGCTGCTGAAATGCAAAGATACAAACTAGCCATCTTGGGAATAAGTGAGTCTCGATGGATAGGCTCAGGTCAGATAAAGCTCAACACAGGGGAACTGCTGCTATATTCAGGCCACGAAGATGAAAATGCGGCGCACAACCAAGGAGTGGCACTCATGCTTTCCAGAACTGCCCAGAACGCACTTATAGGGTGGGAAGCGCATGGTTCCCGTATAATCACGGCAAGATTTAAGACCAAAAAACGAAAAATCAATATGGACATCCTACAGGTGTACGCTCCTACCAACGATAGTAAAGAAGAGGACAAAGAGGATTTCTACAACAGACTGCGAACCCTGGTCCAAAGGTGTCCTAAGAGCAATATGGTTATACTCATGGGCGACCTAAATGCGAAAATAGGCAGCAACAATAAAGGCTATGAAGAATGCATGGGAACACATGGTATGGGAGAGATGAATGAAAATGGTGAAAGACTAGCAGATCTATGTGCTACAATTGGACTAGTCATCGGAGGAAGCCTCTTCATGCATAGAAATATCCACAAGGCCACATGGATTTCACCAGATATGTCAACGGCTAACCAAATTGACCATTTCTGTATTTGCAATAAGTTTAGACGGTCGCTCCAAGATGTTAGGGTAAAAAGAGGGGCAGATGTAGCCTCAGACCATCATCTAATTATTGCCAAATTAAGGCTGAAACTGAAAAAGAACTGGACAAGCGAGGGAAGCAAGCGCCAACATTTTAACATCAACCTCTTGAAAGATGAGTCCAAGCTAAAGGAGTTTAAACTTACCATCTCCAATAAGTTCCAGATCTTACAGGAACTAGGCAATGAAGAAACAATTGACAAAAACTGGAAAGAAATCAAAGAGATATTCACGACTACCTGTGAAGAAGTGTTGGGCCCTAGGCAACAAACGCATAAAGAATGGATTTCGGCTGAAACCATGGAAAAAATCCAATATAGGAGAAAGAAGAAGGCAAATCTAAACAATAGCCGCACCAGAACCGAAAAGGCCAGAGCATCAACAGAATACTCAGAAGCAAATAAAGAAGTTAAACGTAGTATAAGGACAGATAAAAAGAACTACATAGAAGGATTAGCAAGTGAAGCAGAGGAGGCTGCGTACCATGGAAACACAAGAGAATTATTCAGTACAATCAAAAAGTTATCTGGAAAGTTCAACAATCCAGTGAGACCAGTTAAAACTAAAGATGGGAAATCAATACCTGATGAAGAGGGTCAGAAAAAAAGATGGATAGAACATTTTGAAGAACTCCTCAACCGGCCAGCACCACAACACACACTCAACATAGAGCCAGCGGAAAAAGATCTAGAAATAGAGTGCAGCACACCCACAAAGCAAGAAATATGCAGAGCAATTAAACAACTAAAGAAAGGCAAGGCGGCAGGTCCTGACAGAATACCGACAGAAGCCTTGACAGCAGATATTACGTCTAGCACTGAAATGCTACACACACTATTCAAGAAAATATGGGAGGAGGAACAGATACCGGCTGAATGGAAAGAAGGACACCTCGTTAAGCTCCCGAAGAAAGGAGACCTTAGTTCTTGTTCTAACTATAGGGGAATAACCCTGCTGTCGATCCCAAGCAAAGTATTCAACAGAATGCTGCTAAACAGAATGAGGGAGGCAATAGACATCAATCTTAGGGACCAACAAGCAGGGTTCAGAAAAGACAGATCCTGCACAGACCAGATTGCCACACTGAGAATTATTGTGGAACAATCTCTGGAGTGGAACTCGTCACTATACGTCAACTTCATTGACTATGAGAAGGCTTTTGACAGTGTCGACAGACAGACTCTGTGGAAGCTGCTTAGACACTACGGGGTACCACAAAAATTGACAGACATAATTAAGGCTTCTTACGAAGGACTATCGTGCAGAATTGTCCACGGCCAGCAAACAACGGCGGCTTTTGAGGTACAGACCGGTGTCAGACAGGGGTGTCTGCTCTCGCCTTTCCTATTCCTGCTGACCATTGATTGGATAATGAAAATGTCTACAGAGCAGAAGAGAAATGGTATTCAGTGGACACTATGGAAACAACTTGATGACCTGGATTTTGCGGATGATCTGGCCCTAGTATCACACACACAGCAACAGATGCAAGAGAAAACCAATTATGTAGCACAGTACTCTGCTTGCATCGGCCTGAACATCCACAGAGGAAAAAGCAAAGTCCTTAAAATAAATACATCAAGCAACACACCTATAGCACTGGAAGGAACAAACCTTGAGGAGGTGGATAGCTTTACATACCTCGGCAGCATCATTGACATACAAGGAGGGACAGACGCCGACATAAGAGTGAGAGTTGGTAAGGCAAGAGCGGCATTTAACCAGCTAAAAAAGGTCTGGAGCTGCAGCAATTTGACCCTCCAGACCAAGGTCAAGGTATTCAACACCACAGTGAAACCTGTCTTGCTATATGGGGCAGAAACATGGCGAACAACAGCAGCTGGTTCAAAAAAGCTACAGACCTTTATCAACTCATGTCTCCGAACGATTTTACGAATCCGCTGGCCCACCGTCATCACCAACGAGGATCTCTGGCGGCGCACACAACAAGAACCAGTGGAAGAGTTAATCTGCCAGCGCAGATGGAGATGGATTGGCCACACCCTCAGAAAGCCCGCATCAAGTATCACGAGACAAGCCCTGACTTGGAACCCCCAGGGTAAGAGAAAAAGAGGTCGACCCAAAACAACTTGGAGAAGGGAACTGGAGGCAGACATCAAAAAGAGTGGGCACAACTGGGGACAGTTGGAGAGGCTTGCCCAAGACCGGGATGCCTGGAGAGCCTTTGTTTGTGGCCTATGCCCCAGACGGGACGACAGGCGATGATGATGATGATGATGATACAGTGAAAGAAAGGATTCGCCAGGAAATTGGGGAGTACGATGACCTACTGGGGACTGTGAAAAAACACAAACTACAATGGTACGGCCACGTAACAAGGAAACAAGGGCTTGCCAAAGAAATATTGCAGGGCACCACAAGAGGAGGGAGAAGAAGAGGAAAACAAAGAAAAAGATGGGAGGATAACATCAAAGAGTGGACAGGACTAACACTGGGCGATGCTGTGCATAGTGCAGAAGACAGAGACAAATGGAGGATAGTTCACATGTCATCTGTGGCGCCCCAACAGTCCAAGGACTAAGGGACATGATGATGATGATGAACCTGTAAACTTTATATTTTTCATGTAAACCTTGTACATACCATGTGAACCTACTCCAATTTTAAATGACAAAAACACAAACAAACCCATTATGAAGCATCTTTTCAAGCTGAAAATATATTTTCTTTAATAAAAGAAAAAAACACAATCCAACTGCTGGTTTTTTTTTTGGTCTTTATTTTAACAACCTCATAAGTAGCCATTCACAAAACCAAAATTATTAAGCAAATAAACTGCATCAAATCTCCTTAATAATTTAAAATGCCAACAATATTCTGATTCATCCTTAAAGTAACAAACACAAAAAACAAATGTGTCAGAACTCCTGACACAGAAAAATAGTAATAGCATTATAAATCATATCATGGAATAAATGAAAAATAGGAAACATTATATGTCAATTAATTTACACATTCCTGGAAACAAAGAAAAGTTGACAGTCATGGGCTCAACAAATCTGGTACATTGTATTTACATTATATGCAATGGTTTACACATGCTATCTTTGGATAATAAGATAAACGAGAATTCTTACAGAGATAGACAACACAAAAAATGATAAAACATTGATTGTGCCATTATTCTGATCTCAGAATATGCAATGAGAAAAAGAGAGAGAACAATACTGCTGACCATGAGTAAAGAAAAATAATGAAGGCTACAAAAGAAAATTTCTGTCAAAGATGTGCAGGTGTTCCGGTTTTTGTTGTTTTATTTTTTTTTAGAGAAAAAGTCCATGCAACACTGGATAAAAGTTTTTAAATGCACGGAAAATGAGTATTTTAAAGATTTAGAATGTAATGAAAACAATCATTGTGTTGGCTCATTGGTCAGAGTTGGCGTAATAAAAATATTTGAGACTCTGCATAAATTATTCCATTACCATGGAGTGGCTGAACAGCAGTAGCCATCAAGTATAAAGTGAATGCAAAACAAGAAGCATCACATGAACTTTCATTATAGACTTAATTTTAAAACATTTAACAATGTTTCTTAGCTTGCGGGCTGTAAAAAAAATTTAAAAATGAGGCGGTGGGCACGATTGGGCCTTCACATCATAGTTCTTCAACCTTTGACCTAGGTGAACAGAAAAACTGACATAAAATAAATAATAGTTCATCAGACAATGAGATATCAAGGATTTGGTACAGGTCCCCCTTTCTGTAGAGCAGTGAAGATCCACCTCCTTTCAATGGCAGCTCCCACACCAATGATTTCTTGCTCGAATATCGATGGCATCTTCTCCAGCAGGTCTTCAACTTCTCGTGTCCTTACTGAGATGAGCTGGCGTAAATAAGACCACAGGTAATCAACGGTAGCTCCATTAGGGTGCACTTGCAGGAAACAAGAAATAAGACCTGGACAAAAACGATATGTGGAAAAAATACCAAGTTTTAACATTAAAAAATGGTGAAAATATACATATGACAACTGGTTTAGACTTCTTTCTTGAGTATGTAAATGTAAATAATTTTTGTAATTAAAAATGTTAGTAGAAAATATTAGTTCCCAAAGTGAATATTGGTATATGTCAAATAACTCAAACCCCCACCTTAAAGGTAAAAGAAATTCAAGTGTTTTACAATATAAATATAATTAGAGCATAATCAAAAATATTTGGATCAAAGCAGTTGCAGCTTATCAAAAGAATGATACAAGGTAACATTTTTTTTAAAAATGAAATTCATTAGGGCAGATTAAATGAAGAAGAATTTAAATTACCAGATATGCAAACTTTTTAAAACTTAAGTAAAAACAAATATTGTTAACGTGCCTATCATTTTTGCCTCCTTGTCAGTGAGAGACAGACCCGAGCTGCTTACAGTTGATTCCTCCCTAATAGATTTTGCAACACTGCTTTCGTCATCCTGTGAGGACTAACAAAATGTTCAATCTTTATATATAGGATTTTCTTTGCTATAAACACATTTAAACATTTTCTTAATCACCATAATTTATTTACAAGATGAATTATAATAACTATTTCCTAGAAACTGAATGAGTAATAAGGCTTATGGAAACATGAGATGTGTTTCTGGGAATACCGTACCCATATTATAGATTACATATAACTGCTTTTTCTTAACAATGTGGAATATAGCCAGCAGTTAGTTCAAGGGCCTGGTCCTCCATTTGTTCATTTTGCTTATAGAGACCTCGCTTTTTTTTTTGACAATGGCTGCCACCCCTGCAATATTTTCTGGATCCTTTACTTTTGACAACTTGGCATTAAATGAGCAAAGTGTAAAAGGAAACCATCAACTCTGAGTCAACAAGTGCAACCAGTTATGTGGTTAGCTTAAAAGATCCAATTTTTCACTGATCACCTGATCAGTGACTAAAATGCCTGTGTAATAACAACAAAATCCTGCTATCCCTGCTAAAATAAAAAGAAAAAGACTTTTGAATTCATAAACCACCTTTTATACATTTCATGGTAGAAGACTACACAACTCACTTTGTCTTCGCTTTTCTTACTGCCTTCTTCTTTCTCTGTTTCATCTCTCTTCTGTTCTCTCTCCATCTCAAGTTTGGCCACTGCAGCTCTCTGGGCTATCAGTTGCTACTCAGATAAAAAGGATATAAAAAAAAAAAATGTTAAATAAAATTGAACTTGACTTTCTTTTTTTAAAATCTCAGTGCAATTTAGGATGATGAAAATGTAAATTTAAGTTTTAAGGCCATCACCCCCTAAGAACAAATACTAATATTTCTTTTCTGGGGCAGAGAAATAAAAAAAAATCACCTGCTGCATTCCTTGTAAGGCATTTTGTAATGCCTTGATTTGTTTGTCCTTCTCTTCCACTTCTGTTTTCCATTCCTGTCTAACCATGTCCACTTCGTTCTTAAATGCTTCCATCTGGCACTTGAGGGAATCATTCTCTTCTTTAAGTTTCTGACTCTCTGGACTGTCTGAAAGTGTGTTGTTGTTTTTTAATTTTTTTTTTAAAGAATCATTCTTATTTCCTTTATTTACTGTTTAGTGATATCTGTTTTAGTCAGTTTTATGATACAGGTTTAAAGAACAAGATTGAAATGTTTTGAAGATTACTTTAACTACACACTGCCAGGCTTTAGTTATGAACATAAACATTGTCTTCTTTATTGATTCAGAAGTTAAAATAATTCTGAATAGCTGTTATTGTTAAGAATGTGATGTAATACCAATAATGAATATCTTTGTCCTAAAGTATAACAAGAAAAGCTGTCCCAGAAGATACAAGTTATAGAAAGAAATACCTCCAATGTTAGTTGAAATTTTTGTTTAATATGTGGATGCATTTCACAATTTGATTGCTGATTATAAATGATACATTGACAACAAGAGACTTTAAATGGTAGAAGAATTGCAGAGGAAGAAAACTACCATACAAATAGATGAATGTTGCATTCATTTTGAAATCTTCAAGTTGATGAGGACAAACAATTAGAGAACATTTCCTGGGCTCTCCTTCTCCACAACACCACAGTAAGTTACTCTTTCACAACATTTCATTACCTGTAACACAGTGAGCTCCAGTCTTCCTTTTCTTGGTCACGGGACCAGAGTCCTCATCGTCAGAGAAGTCCATATCTTCACCCACATCGTTGTTCTTTGACTCAGGTTCTTCATTCTCTCGCAGTTCCTGGAGGTGGACAAAATTTGTTTGAGAAACTCTGCTTCTAATCTAGCTCAATTTTAATTTATGATGAAGTGTGGGTCCCAAAATTCTTTATTAATTTTTTTTTCACAAACTCGTGTAAAAAAAAATATCCCAGTAATTAACAGGTGTAAGTTGTCTCATTTATTTATATGTTCATGTTGTTTCATATTTTATCATAAAGCAATACAGAATACATTACATAGAACTGAATTTTTTTTTTAAAATTTAGTTTCCCCAGCTCAATTTGAAATACATTACCAACAAAAACCTTTTTTTTTTAAAATTAATACATTGCAATATGTGATTTACAATAATATAACAGCTTTCATAAAAGTAAAATGAGCACACAAAAAACTTAAGGTTACATAACTTATTACTAAGTATTCAAACCTGTGCATTTTGTGGTCACATCATTATCAGATCTATTTCTTACCAGTTCCTTTTGAAGAACAAACTTCATTTGATTAGAAACTTCCATTTCTTTTTGTGTTTGAAGCACAATGCCCAGTGCTATTTAAAAACTCAGAATTTACAGAGAAATTTTAACACTTTTATAAAAACAAAAATTGGCCTTGCACTGATGCTTTTTATTACCATCATTGATCAGTTTTCTGTAGCTTCTGAATCCATTTAGCCTTGTTAAATTTTGAAAATGACATATAATTTAATATTGACATGGGACTGCGTTCAAGCCGTGTCAAGCGCATTAATAATGGCACAAGGTGTGTTTAGGCTTGAAAAAAAGACAGGGCAGTTACATATTTGTTTGACCTGAAGGATTACAGAAGGAATGGTCTCAATGCTGGTTGTTAAAGGGTAGATAGACAATTTTCTTAAATCCTCTTTACCAATGAAATATATGGAATAGTTACCATTATTTCATCAGATTTCTTCACTTCCAGTTTTAGGGTACTTCTAACGACCAACATTGTGATAATCCCTTCTGTGAGCCTCTCTTACCAGAAATGGGCATAATGCAAGCTTGTGAAGACTCTCACTACAAATTCATCCGAATAATTCTCTGTATATTTTATCTATCTGTCTGCACATTGATAGGCAGTTCAAGTTGTAAATCAATCAATTTTAACATCTCTCTATCAAGTTTTGAAACAGGAACTATAAGCCAAGTTTTAAGATTTTTATAATTGCCTCCCTTTGTTTTCCCACACACAAAAAATACATTAGTGCACTAGCATCTTGAATGAAGTTTTATTTTCCATCACTTACCAAATTTTTAAACTATTAATAATTGGACTATTATTATACCATTATATTAATTTACCTAGTCAACTATCATTGTCCACTGATTAAGTTTGCACCTTTTAATGTGCTTGATTTTTGTTAAGGTGGATAATTATCAAAAACTGACATTTTAAAGATACATTTTTTTCTGGATACAACATTCCTTCTTCTGAACTAATATGTTCTTACAAAATGTAAAATGTGGTATTATTACCTAGCTTCTATTAAGTTCTATTACTCAAACTTACCTTGCTCTAGCATAGAAAATCATATTTTATAATAAACCAAAAAGCAATTCTAAGACAATTTTATTACCTAATGGGAAGACACCAAATAAGGCTTAAATTACTATTACTACTATAACTTTTGAAATAGAGCTTTTTGAATCTTGACCAAACCATTGACAAAAGTCGCACAAAGTAAAGGAGCTGCTGTGTGCTCTTTCTCTGTCTTTAACACCTGTACTCACCTGCTACACTCAAATACTTTCTTTTTATCTTATGCACATATTAGGGTCATTGTTAAAACGCCAGCAGCTCTTTTGCTTTCTTCTAGAAATTACTTTTTTTTTTTTTTTGACATAGCAATGCTTTACAAATAATTCCTCTGGTTTAAAAACAAACCATTTTGAAGTAAAGAATTTCCTATTCATAAAGACTTATAGCTTTTTAAATTTGTTTTTTTTAAAGTTATATTTTTGGAAGTTTGTAAAGCAGTGCTTATAACTAAACAAGGCAAATCAAAAACAAGGCATTGACATTGGTTCATCTATTTACAACATGTATTTGCTATTCAAGAGGCAACTTGTTAGCTTCAATTAATTCTCACAATTTCTAATAAAGTTCAGTTTTTATCCGAATAGTCTGTTTCATCTTAGAAGTAACATTTCCATAGATGAATAGTTAACTAATTCAATTTTTATTAGAATAGCCTGTTTGATCTAAGTTGTAACATTTCCTTAGATGAATAGTTCACTAGATGTCCTCAACCTTTTATTTCTTTAAGGAACCCTTATAATTAAAGCCTGCATGGGTACTGGTTTATGATGCTACTTTATGCCAATTTCCCCCAACAAGCCACAACAGAGACAATAAAATAGTAAACTTGATAAATTCAACAAACAAAATCATAAACTAAAATTTATAAATATGGGAAAAGAAATCCTCATGTATTTGTTTGTGTTGCGTTTTTTTATTTTAATTTTTTACAATATACAAAGTATTTAAAATAAATTAATCATCTACTTGATTGGGCCAACCTCCTATTGACCAAATGAAGCAGAATCAAAGTAATAATTTATGTTTCTTAATTTCTAATAATGAACTCAACCCTGCCATCTACTCATCAAATTTCTTCCTTTTTTAAATAATAAAATTTCTCCCAAGAATATAGATATTTCCCTACATGGAAGCCCTCTAAAAAAAATTCAATGCCTTGTTCTTAATGCCCGAGTTTTGACAGTTACTCTACCTGTGCCTGGCGTTGCCAGGTATCAATATTCTTGCGTTGAGCCTTGGTGAAATGGTCCCAGCACTTTTGTTTGTGGGCTGCCGCCAGTACACGCTCTACCTGACACACTGAATGTGGGAGGGGACATGTAGAGGCCATGGAAACACTGTGCAACAATGGCTAGCCATTGGTAGATTGTTTACACTCACAATTAACAGTAACAAAAAAAAAACACCAAAAAATCACCTGCTCATTCCGATGAGAACCACTGGTATAAATAAGACTTCATGGTAAATTATGGATTCAGTTATACTTTTGAGTATTATCAAACAGACTATTAGCCATCAGATGTCTCGTTTCATTGAAGAACTAAATAATATAATTAATTTACCAATTGATCTGAGTGAGAAATTAATCATAAAACCTCACAAAATTTCCTTAAAGAAAGTTCTTTTATTTGTTTCTCCTTAACAGATGTTGTTTCCAAAAAAATGTTTTTGAGTACCAGTGTCCAAGAATTTCCATCTTCTGTCTTTTTGATAATCAGCATCTCTAACAGCTCTTACCAATTCAACTATTCTAGTAGAACTTGAACTCTCTCCTATTCCATTAATTCTTATATTTATCATAGCAAAAAGTGTTGCCAAACTAAACATATCATGTTCATCTTTTTTACCTTACACCCAAAAAAAGGTCAACACAATAAAGTAGCACAGAGTTAATACAATGAATTCTTTTTAGGGGTAAGGTTAAGATAAAGAAAATGTACAGGTATGTAAAGATACCCAAGCTGCATCTTTAATTATTTTTGTATTGTTGTTGAGCCACCATTACAACCACAAAGTAAAGCCAATGAAAAGTAATTTAAGATGAGCATGAATGAAAAGTTGTGCACCCGTTACAGCCACATTAACAGGTAACCAATGCCATAACTTTCTTTTCAAAGTTATAATAGGGTCTTTTCTTTTTTTCTTTTTTGAAGATAGTGTTTGTTAATTAAGAATACAAATTTTATATTTTTGTTTCCCATCAAAGAAAATTATGGTGCTTGATACCTTCACTATATCTTACCTCTTACTCAAGACAAACAAAAAAAAATGTTTAAGTACAACAAAAAATATATTTTTAATGTATTATGGCCAGTGTCAAAACTATATCTATTCCGAGACTTTCAGAAAGATTACATATTTTTTTTTATATTACTGATGATTCATCGACTTTGTTGGGGCAAGACATTCCTGATTAATTTTAAGTGTTAACTTCTATAACACTTTTCTCAATAAGGCTCAATCCACGGCTCGCTAAAGTGTAAATAGATTTTTGTTTTTCAATCACTGACTTCAGGAATGGAACCTAATTTTGACTTTACTTATTGTTTCCAATTGATATCTGGGTAAATAAACAAAGTATAGCCAACCTCTTGACTTCCAACTTTGTGAAAAATCTGGAGTTCAAAATGTGCCGTCTTTATGAATACCCCATACACAAAAAATTGCAAGCTTCTAACATATCTACCTGTCATACAAGTGTAGTCCGTGGAAGATTCTTACCAGATATTTTTTTTTTTACTCTTCAGGATTTATTCTGCCTACTTTTACTTTGTGGAGGAGTGGATCATCATTTCCTGGAACCTTGAATGCCACAACCAGAGTGAAATCATCTCTTAAAAAGATATGAGCTGCACATGCAAAAAATGACAGGTACTTACACTGTGCACCAATGCCTTGAACTCTCTGCTGAAATTGAAGTTTGTAATGTTCATACTCTTCTTGCACTGTCATTTTCTCATTGTTCAGCCGTCTGACGTGACTTTGAACATTCTGGACCATGGAGTAAAAATTTGTTGAGGTGCGGCGGTTGCACTCTCCTCTTTCTAGCCAAGTGATCAGCAACTGAGAAGCCTTGGAGAAGTTTTCATCAGCTGAAAAAATATCAGTAATAAAGAAAAATGAACAACTATTTTCTTTTTATTGCAAAATCAAAGAAAAATTAGTTATCTAAAACAGGGGAAAAAAGTGATTGTTAAATGATCCTCACTGCCTTAATTTATTTTATGAATAAAATCAAATTCAACTGATAACAGTGTATTTTATTTCACTGCATGTTATTGAATTTTATTTCATTTTACAAAATTTTATTTAACTTTTATTTCATTTTAATAAAAGTTATTTAATTTTATTTCATTTTTGATTTCTGGATTGAATTATTTCCTTTCAGAATCTTGTCAAAAGCTGACACACATAAATTTTCCATTTTTACATTTCAATTTCTCCAAAAGAAGAATAGCTTCATGGTCTGAATAGTGCGTAATAGGTGGGGGGCTGGGGGGCCGGAGTCGCTCTTCCTCCATCCTCTGAAGATGTCTCATTTCCCTCGCCAGCGCCCTCTGGTGACATTCAAATTCAAACTGATCGTCTCTGGCTTGAGCATAATCAACATGAATCCTACCAGTGTCCTCCTTCTCATCAGAATCTTTAATTTTCATCCGGTAGCCTGGGATTAATAATTAAAAGTTGTTTTTTTTTAAATTCCCAGTTAATTAAGCCATAATGAGAATAGAAACATGGTTAACACTATGCACCAAGGACAAACAGCAATTGTTAAACCATGAGACAATATTTTATTTCATAATAATACTCTTAAATAATAAACATGTACCGGAGATATACAACGCTCTATCCACAGATTCCATGTTTTCAAAACGAATGTGAGCAAAATTCTTCTTGCTGATACGAATGCTCTGAATAGGCCCACAGTTCTCAAAGACTTCAAACAAGAGATCCTCTGTGCAATTCTCCGGGATGCCTCCTATGAAAATAGTTCTGCATCCTGGGGGCCTTTCCCGTGTACTGCGTGGTGGAGCCCCTGAAAAATAAATTTTAATGAAACAAAATAAATATTCAATTTTATCAAGGAGAAAACTCTTTATCACTAGAATTTTTGCAAACTATTAACTATTACAGGCTTCTAGCATCTAGATCTTTTGAAAAATTACTAACATAGATAGCAGCTCCCCCAACAAAGGAAAGATTGAAACTGTGTTAATATTAAAATTGATACGTAGTACACTTTTTCCCCGTGCGTGAACTTTCTTTGACCCCGCATTAGACTCCTAGCAGACAGTAACGTTTATTGTGGCCGTGGTTAAATCTTTTTGATGTATCTTGTTCACTACCGACCCACATATATAAGGGATTGACAGGCACAAAGAGGAACGGAGATTCAGATAGATATTATTAACTTTACGAGACAATTGTATTATTCTGTGTGTGCTCATGTATGTGTTTATTCGCTTTCATCATTCATCATTATTAATTGGCACATTGTACTAATTGTGTACCGGTACAAGATCTACCATACTGTAAGTTGATGATTTGTAATTATATTTCTTTTGTTTTGTAATTGTATTATTACTAAATTAAATCTTATTAATTGTGATTGGCAACTGTTTTTGCGTGTCATATCTTTATTATTGTATTTCTCTATGGTATCGTCCTTTGTTGAGCACTGTGTGAACGAGCCATAACTTAAAACAAGATTTCTCATAAGAGAAGCCAGTGCTTAACAATATATTTTGAACCTGCATTACCTGGTGGAGGTGGGTACAACACGGATGACTTAAGTCTTATAATTTCCTTGACTTGCATTTGTTGGCCCATCATGCCAGGCGGTGGTGGTCCCATCATTCCAGGACCACCAAGAGGACCCAAGCTGCCCATGGGGCCAGCTCCTATCATTGCTCCTGGACCTGGTCCCATCAAACCGAACTAAAAAATTAGAGTAAGTTGGTAAGTTGTTTTATTTTTAATATATGGAACCCAACAACAACTGCTAAATTTTTGACTAAACTTATAAAACGTAACAATTAAATTGTGAAAGCTTCATGTGTATGCATGATAATTAGTGCTGCAGCAATCTTTACAGAATACATGCCAAATAATTTTCAACGTTATAAAACTTCAAATATGGCATGAAAGAATCCTAAACATTTTAAAAATAAGTTTTAATGAGTAAGTCAAATAAATAAAAGAACTGAGAAAACATATATGATAAACAAAAAGCTTTTTGCCAAGGCATTTCATGGCTGGCAAAAATAAAAAATTGTTAACTATTAAAATTACCCCAAACTTTGCAATATAACAATATGGTCAGTGAAAAGCTATCAATTAACAAATTACTACACTAAATTATTATTAGATACAAGAAAATATGACCAGGTGTTACTCTGGTAATAACGGAAGGCATATTGTGCTACTTAATTCCTGCTATTGCCAACTCTCAACATCTAGAAAAAATTCATTCTATTTTTATGTATGTAACTAAATTGTTTTTTGATGTTTTGTATACTCGATAAATTTTTGGAAAGAAAAATAAAATAGAACTTATAAGATACAACGCTAAAATTTGGTGTGGCGTACATAGTTCTTTAAAGTATGTATTTTATTTTTTTTTATGTACGTAACTAAATTGTGTTTTGATGTTTTGTATCCTCGATAAATTTTTGGAAAGAAAAATAATTAGAACTTATAAGATACAAAGCTAAAATTTGGTATGGCGTACATAGTTCTTTAAAATATTATACGTATTTTTAATTTATAATACTTAAATATACAAACATTGCATATACTTAAGTGCAAGCAGATAAATTTATTATTATCATATTTAAATTGATTCGATTAGAAATGCCTATCATTGATTTTAAGAATCTGGGCATATATAAATTCGTTTGTTTTTTGTTTCATGTTCAGCTTGTCTAAGCACCTTCTTTTAACAGAGTGGAAAATATTTTAACTCTCTCATTCATATGAAATAATCAAAATAATTCTAAAATAATTGTTCTTCTAAATGTATTTCTAATCACTAATACTTAAATATAAAAAAATTTCATATGCTTAAATTTTAAGTTAAATGTACCGGTACACAGATATATTTTATTTTTATCACATTTAAATTATTTTATTATAAAATCCCTATCCTTGCTTTTAAGCATCCGAGCATATTTAAATTAATTTGTTTTTTTAGCATTATATGGTCAGCTCCTTCTTATATATATGATTTACAAAGGATCTGATGAGCTTTAAATTTTTATTTAACTTTGACCTTATATTTTGATTTAACTTTAAAGTAATTTGTAGTAAATAACAGTTACAAAGAGAGAGTAATTTAATAAAAAAAATACTGCTCCTATTCCTGGAACATTATTAATGGGAAAAGAAAAATATACTGCACCATTTCAGTTAAAACCATTCCAATAAGCCATGATCTTCTTACGTTATTAAAGTTCATTGGTCCCATCATCATCATGTTAGGATCACCGCCCATAGGTCCCACCATCTGGCCGAGCAGATTAAAGACCCCCATCATGTTGTTTTGTTGTTGTTGTTGTTGTTGGTCATTGCCATTATCGCTAACGGTCATCATGTTTTGGTTGGTGCTGGAAGTTACATCATCTGTCAAAAAAATATAAATCGAATACATATAACTTTCAAACTTTTACTTTAAAGCCTCGGAGTATGTGTCAATTTTGATATTAGTCCATATTTCCCATGGAAAAAATTAGCAGGTAATATGTATGACCATCGAAATGATGTTTTAACCCTGTCTCAGCACTGACTTATTTTTAGATGCAACCCTTAGTCTTAGTAGGTAAGATGATCTTTTTTGCATGCCAGTGTTTTAATATAATATAAAAAAAAGTCTAAGTCACTTCACTGAGTGATACCACTGCATACCACAATTCTAATAATAAGAGCTTTGAAAGCTAGCGTATGCTTCGAAACAGTTTTGTTACAAGACTCAACTTATCACGGTTGACACTTTTAACTGCTATAAAACACAGAAATCAATGATGCAGATTGTCCCAAATATATCATCAAACTGATTTGTTGGCTGATGCCCAAAGGCAATAGCAGGATCAATTGCAGAACAATAAAGAAGTTGATTTATGAACTCAGAGATGAGAGTTAAATAAAATTACAAAAAATTAAACCTCTCAGACTTCCATTTATCCTGCTAACAAAGAAGTTGATGAAGAAACTCCACAAGTTGATTCTTGCACAAAAAATTGATATACTTTATATGCAGAGCTTAATGTTTTCAAGCAAACACAATGCTCAAAATATGTTTTCTGAGAGAATATTGCAATTTGCCACCCGTGAAATTGTAATGAATTATATGCAAAGTTATATATTAGCAATCACTGCATTTTAATTTTGTTATTCTGTTTAAATTAAAGTAAGGTTGTTTTTTGTTGGTTTTTTTGCAGTTCATTACCCTCCTTTCCTTCCGAGTTTGTCCTTATAACTGGCATAGGGGGTTTATTCTTGTTTACGTTGAATTGTAGTGGCAAGTTATTCCGAGATGGGTCCATGGCATGTCGACAAAACAACTGAGCCAAGGTTATCTGTGAAAAAGCAGTTTTTAATAAATAGTAAGGCCATTGTACTTCTGCACTACATCTTCACCTATTTGGAGATGACTAGCGTAAAAATGTGGTCCTGAAATACTGAAGTTGTTTTTTTTTTTACTTTAAAAATACAAATCAAATGAAAACTATTTTAAATTACAGCAAGTGAAAAAGTGCAATCCTCGAAAGATAGAAATATTAATCTACACTCACATACACACAAAGAGTAAAATCTTGTAAGGCTCCTATAAGTATATTACGCCTCTTAAATGTCTAGGAAAATTAGCAAATCTCTCTTGCAGCTGGGACAGCTGCCGGCTTATTCATAGGGAGGGAGTTGGAACTCTCCAAAAAAGAAATTCTAGAAATTTCATCACCCGATAGGATTCTTTAGAACAATTAAAACGTAAACAACCTATTCCCAATCATGGGAGGGGTGAGATTGGTACATTTAATTGGTGAGGGAGACAAGTGGTGGAAACCTCATCTCTATGTCGTTGAAGTAAAAGTCAACTTAATATATCGAAATATCTAATGAATGTATGTGCTTGTCGTGCGCATAACTTTTTTAAAAAAATAAATGCAACTAAGAAAAAGCAAGGTAAGTGGGGGATAAGCTGTGTTCTCCTCTCTCTTCTTGTTTGTTGTTCTCACATATCAAATATCTAAGTGACAGTCTAAAATTCAATTTTGCCTCAGCACTGTTTTTTTTATCATGTTCATTGGTATAACTGTATAATTTTATTAATAATAATATTTATTTTTTTTTGCAGAAATCGATATGGTTACATTCAATGATTCATCCAGAAAATGTGTTGAAGGAAGCATTGCACTCGACACATTGCAAATTATGCTGATGGTGCTTTGTGCTCTACCCATCACATTATTTGATTAGAGTGCGCATCTCTCATCTCAACAAAGAAAACTGAGTTTATGTCATCTCCACAAAAACGAACGTGGGACATGAACTCATGCAAATATGAAGGGACAAGATCAAGGTTTCTGCCAAACTTTCTTTTTTCAGCATGCACTTTGCGAGCATTCACATATATAAGACCATTAATAATAATAATAATAATAATAATAGTACAATAGTCATTGAATAGTCAATGCCGACAATATAGCCTGTTATAGTATAGGCCTACTGTGACTACACACTCAACTTAAAAACTGTCTACAATTTACTAGTACTGATATCGTAGTATAGTTGACAGACTAAGACTGGCCTACTACGTCTAAGACAAGACTCAAGACTACTACTACTACATTACTACTACTACTAATAATAAGCAATAGTAGCTGGCACTGAGCACTCTCACTCAAAGTCAAAGCTTTACAAAAACAATCTCGCTCATCACTGATACTGATCACTGACATCACTCAGCAACAGTTACTAATTACCATTCATACAGTCAATTTACAAGAGATTAATCAGGTTATCCTACCTTGAGAGCTTTGTTATGTTGTTTAAATTAGCACAAGTAATATTAAAATAAATTATTGTATGCCTATGTATTTTATATTTGCGCTGTCGACAAAACGAAGTAAACTTGAGTAAACAGGACCATGTCCACCATAACAGAATCGTACGTAAAATTTAATTTGGTATCGAACTTGTATATATATTTTAGGTATCAAAGATGAGGCGATGCGAAAGTCTCCGCTTCCGTTCTTCTTCTTCTTCCATATTTTGATGGCCCACGATCAGAGATTCTAATTTTTTTTTTATAAAGATGTTTATGTATATATAAATCATAATATATAGTCATTACATAATATCAGCCCTACTTTTTAAGTTATAAACTCATTCAGTTATTACCTCGCAGTGATGTATGAAGAGGGGTGCAAGAGGGGGGGGCGGGGGGGGGGGGGGGGGGGGGGGTTGCCCTCCGCCCAGGGCCGGCGCCAGAGTATTTGGCACCCTAGGCGAACCTGTTGCACTGCGCCCCCCACCCCACCGGCAACTAATTATTTAATCAATAGTGCCGCCCCCTAAAAATTTGTGGCCCTAGGCGGCCGCCTAGTTCGCCTGATGGTTAAATCGGGCCTGAGCCCGCCCCAGGTGACCCTTTTCTCCCTCATACTTATATTGATTGAGGGACGACCTTTTCGGTGAACTGCAAAGAATTGTGAGTGTGTGGAAGGGTGGCAAAAGGCTTGTCCTACCCTGAGGTACTGATCCTACTGCTACAACGTTTTGCTTAATTAAAATTAGAAAGAAAAATATAGTGTGGAGCAATGTTCCCTCAAGGTTTGTTGGTTCGTGTGCAAAATCATAAAGTTGTGTGCACATTTTTACAGCATCAATTTTTTTGTGCGCAAAATTTTCTGTGAGATTGCTGCGCGGCTGCGCAGCGGCGCAGCCGCGCAGCTTAAAGGGAACATTGGTGTGGAGAACATATATATATATATATAACTATATATAACTATATATAACTATATATAACTATATATAACTATATATATATATATATATATATATATATATATATATAATGTATATATACATTTATATATATATATGTGTGTGTGTAATTAATTGCTATTCAATATATTATAGTTATAGATCTATTATATGTAAAAATATATATATATATATAAATATATATAAATATATATATATATATATAAATATATATATATATATATATATATATATATATATATATATATATATAATGTATATATACATTTATATATATATATGTGTGTGTGTAATTAATTGCTATTCAATATATTATAGTTATAGATCTATTATATGTTTAGCTCCCAGAGTAACCTTTGACTCATAAGAGCAGTGGTTCTCAACCTGTGAATCGCGACGCCTTTGGGCCCTTTCCCGGGGTTCGCCTTAGACCATCGGAAGACCACAGAGCTATAAATATAATATATGACTATGTCTATGTCGGAAGACAGATATACTCTACAGTTATGAAGTAGCAACGAAAATCATTTTGTGGTTGGTGGTCGCCACAACATGAGGAACTTTTGTTAAAGGGTCGCTGTATGAGGAGGGCTGAGAACCACTGCATTAGAGGATCTCGAAATGTACCATAGATATACTATGCTGCCCACAACTCTCTTGTTTTATTGATTATGTGCCCACTCCAGTAAAAGCAATTGAATGTAATAAATGTAATTAATAATGTTTATTAAAAACTATATTTAATCCGAAAGTTTAAAAAAAAAAAAAATTAAGCTCAAATCAGGATCACCGAAAACGGACATTAGCACTCATAGATGGTGTACCACCAGTATAGTCAGGGTCATAATACGAAGGGGTGGTCGCTCCGGGCGAAAACATCAAGGATACCACAATCGTAAATGATATAGCGTATGAAAGGAGGAGAGAATTTTTTTTTTTTACTTTTGCATGAGGGGCGTGATTTTCGGTCAAAAACTACGATAATAAAGGTAATTAATTATAATTAACGGATGAAAAGACGCGGCGCAAATTTTTATTTCCCTTTAATGATTACTTATTAACAAAAGCTTATTAAAAACTCTATTTATACTTCGAAACATAAAAAAACAACACTTGTTTAAAAGCTCAAATCTCTTAATACGGGCATTGGCATTCAACTTAGATGTAGTGTATGCTACCACCAGTGTTTCTTTAAACCCCCCCCCCCCTCTTAAAGAGTATAACCTCTTTGGCATTGGGTTATCTACATAGTTAATAAATCCCCCTTTACCATGTTTCCATCACAAAAAAAGCATCATTTTATATGCTAAACCCAAATGAAACAAAAATTACGTGAAATAATTAACTTTGCTAAATATTACCACTTTTAACCATAGTCAAAAAACAAGAAGAAGAGAAAAAAAACTGTTAAGTAGAAAGGTCTATGCATTTTTATGGTTTATCTAAACTGGTCATTTTTATAAATCGTATGTAAACAGTATTATTATGTAAAGAAGACATGAGTTGTTTACAAAATAGTCGAAATTTCCCAATATTCATTTAATTGATTTTTTTATATATTTTTCATTTTAACTCTCTGCAGTCTGACGTTTTTTTCACATTTCTTAAAAATCTTAATGTGATTTTTTAAAATAATTAATTAACTGATCTGAAATAGCTCTGATCTGATCAGTTAAATATATTAACTTGTTCATCTTTGACTCGGCTATCATAAGATATTTTTTGTATATTTTATTTTCTTAGTTATAAAAATAATTGAAACATTATTGGAGAATTATTTTTTTTCATTTTATGCAAAAATTTGACCAAATCTTTACACAGTATGAAGGAAAAAAAAAATCCTTGTTATAAAAGATTTAAAATTTATTTAAATAAAATACTTCATCAACTTATACAATTCATAGTCAAACATGACAAAAATTCTTTGAACAATCAAAAAGTTGTCAACATTTTAGCAAAACCTATATTTTGTCTTTTTTTCCTAAAAAATGCACTATAATTTTTCTTTTAATGAAAATTATGTTTTGTATGTAATATATTTTAAAAAATGGGTCTCATAGCTTATAGATTTGTATATTAAATATATTTCTTAATAATTCTTGAGTAAAAGATGACTAAGTAAAATTTGATGAATATATAAATAACTCAAAACAAGAGTCAATTTTTTTTTTTTTAATTTTAAAATAGCGGTATTCGCTGATGTTAAAGTTAAAAAAAATTAAAATGTATCAGTACAATAATGCTAATTTTGATATACATGTCAAATACGATCCATTCCTCACTAATGTGATCTATTTTTTCCCATGTACCGGCATTTTTATATATCTGTGTTATAATCCTCACATAACACAGGCTGATAAACTACAGTATTCCTTAATTATATTTATGGACTCTGAACAAATATTATTTCTTAAAACAGTCTGCAGTTTTATTATAATAATTATATTTGATAAATAAGAGCTTGTCCTGGACTTGATTTCTACATAAGATTAGGTAAGATTTTTCACCACAGAATATTCACTCAATAAAGAACCTGTGGAAAAAAAAAAATTGATTGATTCATAAATAAATTAACACTAATGGTATCAGTAATGGTATGCTATCAGTAAGGGAAAATACCATTAATCCTAGTCCAAGTGCCTAAATTAGTATAAAAGTAAACCATTGTACATAGAAAATACATTATAACATATGTTATAACAATATTGTGAGTTTATTCTTTATGCATTTTGCTACCAAGTGATTAGATTAAAACTTACCACCACTTGTTTTTAGGGTAAAATCTTCAAAGATATTCATCCAGTAACTCTGTAACTCAGTAAAAGGGTGGAGTCCAGGCTTAATATTTAGGATCAATAAGGAATAAGGACTTCTTGATCCAATATCTGCATTTTTGTCTCTCTCTCCTCCTTCCCAATAGAGTTAGAGAGCTTTTAATAAAAACATAAATGTTTTTTTTTTTATTCTGCCGACAGTAGTCTCTACTAATACTAGTGACTAGCGATAATGATAATTAAATTTAAACACATTTCTACTATGCAATATTAGAAAATTTAGAAGATTATTCTTGGCTGTAACATATTTTAAAGAAATATATTTAGTTAATAACTCAGAAGTCCTTAACTTTAAATTTATTTAATTACGCAAGTTCCAATCGACCGAAATTTTCCGCTATTTTTTTAAAATATTTATTTCGCATAGCGACGCTATTTATTTATTATATAATTATTGAAACTCAATAAAATTCAAATAGAATACATCAATGTAAGTATAAATGGATAATATATACTTCAGCCAATTAAAATTATAAAAATATCACTTTATTGTTTTATTATTAATTTTAATGTCGGGAAATGATAATTAAAATTAAGCTTACTTGTTTACGATAGCATTAGTCGGTACTTTTATATGCAAATCGTGATAAATTTCATGATTAGAGTCTCCATTTGGATGCATTGCTTTAGACAAACAAATAACTCCTTGATAAATCGGGAAATTAAAATCATTTGACAATATTCATACTACTATTTAATTTTTTTTGTGAGACTTATATTTTTTGTTTTTTTGGAAATCTGCGAAGCTTTCAAGGGATATTCCGCACTGAATAAGTTTCCAAAAATATTTTTTTTAAATAGTAATTTCAAATTTTGTAATAATTTTAATTTTTTTACGAATACTTAAACCAATGAAACAAATTATTAAAATATAATAAATATTTTTTTTCAATAAAAAAAAAAAGTTAAAAAATAAATAACCCACCCACAAATTCTATGGTACTTATATGTACCATTTCTCTATAGTCGGACTGCAGAGAGTTAAACTACTATAACTTTTTTCAAATGGCCAAATACTATCTATAACAAAGATCTACTAGAAAGGACACACCAGGTGCCCATTGATGAAGATATCATAAAGAAAAGGTGGAGATTGATAGGGCATATGCTCCAAAAACCCTCAGGTAACACCACCAGACAATGCTCTAACATGGAACCCACAAGGAAAAAGAAAGAGAGGAAGGCCTAAGAATACATGGAGACGCGAGCTAGAGGCTGACACGCAAAATATGAGATACACCTGGAAGCAATTGGAAAGGAAAGCACAGGACCGTGATGAGTGTAAAGTTCTTGTAGGCGGCCTATGCCCCAGAGGGGTAGAAAGGCATGAGAAGAAGAAT